GGAAAAAGTGTGCAAGAAAAAACGGAAAGATTCATTCTTTTGCTTTGTCATCGTGACCTAAGTTTGATTTTCAGGCTTGTCAAACAGGCAACTGTGAGCTGGCTGCAGGTTCTGTGATCCGTCACTGTAATTAGATTTTTTTTTTTTTAACATGATGGCAAAGCAACTTTTCTGCTGATGCCATTAAGAATCCAGTACACCCTCTGCACTGTTCGCTTTGCATGCCACCGCAACATCATCTTACAGTCGCTTGTTTATGCTAGCTGCTAACCTGCAGGTAGTCACTGCAGTGTTCTCCTGAACAACAGCTGTGGCCACTACAGCCACTTCAGCGCTGATACAGTAAGAGAAGAAGTCAAAATCCGAGTGTTTTTCCCCACAAATTCTCATGTTTTCAAACTGTTGCAACATCTCTCAATGAACAATCTGTGACTTAATCGAGAGGTGGTCTTACAGCCGAAGTGAAACCATAACAGTGACAGACGTGACGTTGTGTTCAGCATCCCAGTTTTTGGGGGTCGGGTGGAGGAATGACCCAATAAGATAATAACAATAATAATAATAATAATAATGTATACTTTATTGATCCCGTGGGGAAATTACTTTCTCTGCATTTGACCCATTCACTCAGTGAAGCAGTGGGCAGCCACTAAGCAGGCGCCTGGGGAGCAGTGTGTAGGGACGCCACCTTGCTCAGGGGTACCTCAGAGTATCTCAGTGGATTCAAACCCCCGACCTTTCGATCATGGGACGACCACTCTACCTAGAGATCTTTTAGAGTCCCTGTTTGCAGATTACAAACAGATTCCTTCATTTGATCTATCAGTGTCCAATGTAAGACATTATCCTTTTAAATATTAATACATATAGAATTTACTTGCACCTGCAGGTGATGATTCTTTAATGGTTTATCTTTCATTTCTTAAGCAAATATTTAACAGTTTATAAACAGAGTTCACTCAGGATTCGTCCCGCTGGAGGAGAGCAGCGTTCCTCGTTAGCACAGCTAAACAGATATGGTGCGTTGAAGCAGAGAAGGCGATCACTCACTTCTTTAAGCTCTCTTGCTCCGTGTTGTCCAGCGCTCTCAGTTTTGGAGCATACAGGAGCACGATGTCGGAACGCTTTGCTTTCTTGTTGCACTAAAATCACAAAAAAAAACCCCCATCAAATATATTTTAACCTTCAATCTTCCACCGGTGGTCGATGGGATTTCTCTTCCTTCTCACCTGCGGACATTTAGCAGAAGGGCTCTGAGCTTTCAGCCAGCGCTGGATACAGGTGTAACCGAAGAGGTGACCGCACCGCAGAGCGGCGAGTCTGTGCTCGCCGGCCGTCGTCCACGCTTCGAAGCAGATGGTGCAGGTGTCACCTTCATTCTCGTCACTGGGAGACAGAACTGCTGAGGACACCTGGAAGCAGGGAGGATCAACAGTTAATGATAGTTTTTGTAAATATCCTAAAAAACAAACAAACAAACAAACTGGGGACAGCGTTTTATCAGTGAATGTGAGTTCTTTTTAGCCTGTCGATGTGTTTCAAAGGCTCAAAGTAAGGTTACACCGACTTGTTGCACCATCTTGTTGTGGAAAGTGGCGTTACAGAAACGCATCAGCGCCCACGTGAGGCTTGAGTTGATATATTTTCCACATAATGCATAAATAGTTTTGACATAAATTCTTGACATTATGTCTTCCTTTAATTAATGAATTATTAATATTTAAGCAGAAGTTGGATTTGTAAGACTTTACTGTTGTGGAATGAAATTTAACACCAACTGCACACTTATCAAAGAACGCATCAGTGACTTGGTGTTGGACGGAGCTGGTCTTGTCCGAGGACAATTTCCAGTCCAGGAATACTGTACAAGACTACACTTGTTACAAAATGATGATGGTAAACATATTTCTTGTTTTGTTTTTGATGCAATAAAGAAACCCT